ATATCAAAATTCGAAAAAGGTCTTATTGTACATAATTACCCGAAAAAGAAAAGGAATATTGAAATACTAGGGCTACGTTCGGAAACGTCTCGAATACTCTCTCTCTCTTTTTATCTCACTCTTATGGCTCCTGCACACAAAACGCGGTAATGCTTACCGCGCGGCGGAAGTTTGCGCGACAGCCAATCAATATTCTGCTTTCCGTAATAACCTTCTTGTTCTTACGGAAAAGCAACATATTGATTGACTCGCGCGAACTTCCGTCGTGCGGCAAGCATTACCGCGTCCTGTGTGCAGATTATATTTCCATTATATTTCGCCATTATATTTCGCATCATTTTCGCCATTATATTTCGCTCACTCCAATAGCTATCGTCTAATAGTGTGCATACAGTGTGTGTTTCTGAACGCAGCCTAGATAGTACACCAATCGTGCCTGATGGGGGAGCGGTGCACTTAGCACGGTGCATTTGGACACAGCCAATCACAGCACCGTATGATTAGAGACATTTGTAGGGTCCCTTGGAACAGCGACTTGTGATTGGACTGTGTCCAATTGCCCCGTGTCCAACTGATATACACCCGCCTGATGGTACTTCTACAGCAGCGCTTGAGATCGATATTTCGGCCAATATATGATTTTTTAATATTTAATTAAAATTATCTGAATGACTCACAAATCTTTTTAATGATACTTCATAACTCTTCATACGAAAAACAAACGGTACCATACCAAACCTTTGTTTAATTTACCTCCGGTCATTATTTACAGCTAAATATATGGTCCAAAAAAGGACAATTAATTACAAGTAATAGAATGACTCACAAATCTTTTCAATTGCATTTCAAAACTCTTCATACGAAATACAAACGATTTAAAAGAATAGTTTTCCAACCGGAGTTTTTTTCCGGTCAAGTAGATACGAATCGATATCCGACGTACGACATCGATATCCAATAGGAGAACAGTTTTCCAATAGAGAATTGAATTCTCTATTAGAAAGTTGTTCTTCTATTGGATATCAGATGTCGTACGTCGGACATCGACGCAGTGTGAATCCTGCATAAATTCTATATTAGAAAACTGTTCTCCTATTGGATATTGGACGTCGTATGTCGGACATCAGACGCGATGTGAATCCTGCATAAGAGTGAGAAAGATATATTTCTCACTTTAACTTACCGCACCAGTTCAGCAGTGCATCTGAAAAGAACAGATAATCGTTCTATTTTCTATTGCTGAACTAATGTACACTTTTAAAATTTAAACAGAGATAGATATATAGATAAAATTTTATGCAAGAAAGATGAGAGAGAATTAGTGCACCCAATTCAGCAATAAAAACAGACTTCATGTTTCCGATCGTATTTTTCAATGAATTAAATGAAGGTTAGGTTTCAGTGTTTTAAACATATTTATGTTTGGAAAATCATGACGTACAGTTGATGCGGCTTGCGTAATTAAAAACAAAGCATATTAGAAGTTCTAAACAAGTTTATAATGTCCGTTCCGTTTTTTAACGTTACACGGTCATTAACAATCGCCGCAAGATCGAAACGGCGGGTTGTTGTCACCGGCATAGGAGTTGTATGTCCGTTAGGAGTTGGAACACGAAATGCTTGGGAAGCTCTCATTGATTCTAAATGCGGAATCACGGAATTGTCCGAGTCAGGTTACGAAAAATTACCTTGTAAAATAGGTGAGCGGTTCCTAATTTATTATCACACGAGATACTAAGATTCTTATTTTGAACTTTCTTTTATCTCTTCTTTTATCTTCTTTTATGTAAATTATGTAAAGTATTGAGAATTATATTAAAATATAAAAAAAGTAATTATGAGATACTATATCTGTTTTGGGTATTAATTATAAATATAATGTTTAAGAAAGAAATCGTCTAAAATTTTCATTTTATGATAGAACAAATTAATAGATTTAACTCTGGAGGTACAAATATTGTAACTTGTTCAAAAAATTCTGTGGACTTGTTCAGAAAGTAACATTCATAAACTTTTATATATATATATATATATATATATATATATATATATATATATATATTGATAAAGATTAAGATTCTAAAAATTAAATAAAAATCTAACTTTTCTTAGTAAAGTTTTGGGTACTTTAAACGATACCATAGATTATTTGTTGTTTATATAAATAATATATATAATTTATATTATCTACATTGTAAACATAGATGTATCATACACATATAATTTATATGTAAATGTTCAACCATAAGACATATTTAGAAGCACTTTTATCAATAAAAGAGAATTCAGAAGGGTTAAAGTCTGAAACCATAAGTGTAAGTATATGTCTATGTCAGCAATATTATATAGTCATAGTTATGCTAGAATAATCCAATCCACAAAGTTATGATTGCCATGTTTTTGTTATCAATGGGTAATTTATGTTTTTCTATATAAAACAAGAAAAATCCAAATATTATAGGTACCTAAAATTAATTAAGAAACAGTTAATATCGCTTTAAAGTATATTATTTTACACACAATAATTAAGTGATAAATCAACCTACAGCTGCTCTGGTGCCAAAAGGAAGCGCTTCACACCAGCTCAATATCAACGCCCACTTTACAAAGAGCGAGTTACGCACAATGTGCCCTGCTACTGTGTATGCGCTTATAGCTTCCGAGGAGGCGCTCACCGACGCTAAATGGAAGCCAGACGATGAAAATGATAAACGCGACACTGGAGTTTCAGTAGGAATCGGCATGATAGATCTGATGGACGTGTGCGCGACAAACGAAGCTCTGAAGAACAGTTACAGTAAAGTCAGTCCGTTCTTTGTACCCAGAATATTACCGAACATGGCAGCTGGACAGATTAGCATCAAGTATGGTTTCCGAGGACCGAATCACTCCGTGTCAACCGCTTGCGCAACTGGTGCACATGCAATTGGTAATTAGTTAGCATTGAAAGCAGTGTAAATTACGATACTCTTTATCTGCATATGAGTAAAACGTAAACTATGAATGAGATATCATTTACGTGACATTGGTAAATGCTTTTATGTCATTGTTCTTAAGCAGTTTATCTACTCAAATGAAATGTTTAAAAACAAATTTATAATATACAAATTTAAAATAAAATTAAAATAAATTTAAAATAAAATTAAAATAAATTTAAATTAAAATAATATTTATTGCAATAAAATACATTTGTAGTAAATTTTATGTAATTTGTCCGCACCATCGTGAGAAATTTAATACTAAATATTACAATTTTACACTTTGTGGTAAGAGCAATATAGAAGATCATTATTCCAGTGTAATTTTGTAAAAAGTGATACCAAATTCAAGTGGACGTAATCTTGAAATTTATAGCATTATCCTGAAATTACGTCAAAATTACGTCCTTCAAAATTACGTCTGTGTATATTATTTACATATTGTCTACATGATATATAGATTTTTCTCATGTAGACAATATAAACACTATATAGAATATTGGAAATTATATTAAAATATACAAAAAAAGAGTATTTAAATTATGAAACAGTTATATATACCATATATTTGCTTTTATTATTAATTATATTAATATAATTATATATACATTTATATAATTATAATTACATTAATATTAATTAATCAATTATATTAATAATAAATGTGGAAAGTAATAATAATAATAATAAAATGTGGATATATTGTATTTTAAATTTGATGTTTTAAAAGAATAAATTACATAAAATTTTCATTTTGTTGTACGACAGATTAGTAGATTTAACTCTGAAAGTAAAAAAGTAATTATGGAATTCTGTGAATTCTAACTTATTCAGGAGACAACATTCATAAATTAATATCAGAATTATAAGATTAAGCGAAAATAGAAACTTTCTTTAATTAATTGTTGAGCAAATCATATGTTCTTTAAACGACATCAGATTATTCATTATTTACATAGATGATACTTCTTATTATCTTATCCATACATAGTTGTAGAGCATCATAATATACACATAAATGTCCAATCCTGATTGAAAGCTTTGAATTATTAAACATTATATTTCTTTCTTTCGGATATTTAACGTAATAATTTGCCCGTACTTTACACCATGCTTTCAGGCGACGCATTCCGCTTTATCCGCGGCGGTGAGACTAATGTGATGGTATGCGGCGGTGCGGAGGCATGCGTCAGTCCGCTGGCGATAGCTGCGTTTTGTCGACTGCGGGCGCTGAGTACGAGAAACGAAACTCCGTGGGAAGCGTCCAGACCGTTTGATAAAGACCGCGACGGCTTCGTAATGGGCGAAGGCGCCGCGATACTCGTGCTGGAGGAATTGAACCACGCGCTCGCCCGAAACGTGCCTATTTACGCAGAGGTGTTGGGTTACGGGCTGTCTGGCGACGCATCACACATTACGGCGCCCAGCGAAGACGGTATCGGCGCGCTATTAGCGATGGACAGAACGATGAAGGACGCCGGCATCGAGAACTCGGAGGTGACGTTCGTGAACGCGCACGCCACGTCTACGCCGCTTGGCGACGGGATCGAGGTGAAGGCGATAGAATCGTTGATGGGCGAGCATAGCGGAAACGTGACAGTGACTAGCACCAAAGGAGCTCACGGTCATTTATTAGGCGCCGCTGGCAACTTGGAGGCAGTCTTCACAATCTTGGCGATCAAAGAGGGTATCATACCACCCACGTTGAATTTGCACAACCTGGATATGAAGACGCGCTTAAGGTTCGCAGCTCACAGGAAAACTACATGGCATTCGACGACGCGTCGAACTGCTTTAAAGAACGCGTTCGGCTTTGGCGGAACAAACGCGTGTTTGTGCTTCACGCAATATGTCGATTAAACGGGTTCAATGGTCGCATATAGCTATAACGTTGTTATATTGTGATATCACACAATAATGTGATCGTAATGATTAGTCTCTTCCTGAAATGGATTCCAAGAGTGAAAACGGCGATAATAAAGATAGGGAATTGTTGCTGCAAGATTTGTTACGTAACGTGTACATATAACTGATGCTATGGAATTTAAAAGGAGCAGAGATTTGATGACTGATGAAATTTCACACGTGAGTATCAATGAATAGTGGCTTAAATATTTTTTATACAACATACAATATGTAAATAGCATTTTACGACAAACATCCATTTTATAGAATGATCTTACAATGTGTATGTGTGTGTATGTAATGTAATTACACGGAGTGGATGTGTACATTTGGAATAATAAAATATATGTATTATACATATATATAATGGAATGCAACATTCATTTTATATATAGTTCTGACAATCTCTTCAATTATGCGCTTCTACTCTTACAAATACGAACACAAGTTCTCATAAATCCATGATCACGTAACTCATGATGTAAGAAAACAAAATAAATCATTGTACATAATGACAACTGAATGGAGCATAGCCAATTAATTTTGTCCACAAATGTTGCGCAAGGCTCAAACACGGTACTAAGATTAGACTGTAAATACTGCTTTAAGAAACTGTGTAATTTTTAAAACGTGCAATTAATGGTGTTTTACATAACATGATGACATCCTTTCTGCAAATAGAAAATGTGTAAAAATTAACAGTCGTCACAGTTTTATATTAGTTTCATGTTTAACAGTCGATTAACATTTTTATAACTTACCTATATAATACTCAAATCATAAATAGATATTTTCATCTTTTTTTACAAATTAATGAATATTCAACAATATTTTACGAGGTTAATATAATCTAACTCGTTCTTTAACAGGCATACATGGAAGAAATCATATTGTTTTTTAGTATTTGTGGGCAAACTTTAATTGGTCAAGGAGCAGACGCTACTTTGATCCACTCTTTTTCTGTGTATCCTCGAAAATAGTACATTTTGTTTTCTTACATCGTGATATAACTTAAGGTTTTCGGAAAAATACAGTACTCTTCAAGTATTCCGTTAATAATCTGAAATTTGTGTCTGTAATAACTTGCGTTCGTACTGCATGCAATGAAATCAAATTTGCCATACCGTGGCCAAGGCATGCTCGTATAAAATAGCTACACCCGCTCTAAAATTGTACTGATCCATACAATTCGATTTGTGTGTTATGTAGAAGTCTTACAGTATTTCTGTTCGCATTGCATTTCGCAACCTCTTACTCATTCGAAATAGATGTAGTCCAATGCATTTTCTATAATCTAAGATTTGTCTTTTCGTTTATTGGAAATAATGCATGAAAGTTTCATAAAACATTGCTTCTTTTTTGTTTTTGGTATGTCTCTTTATTTCGAGACAAAAGTCTTTGTTTCAGGTAAATTATACTGTATTATCGTCTGTCTTTTTTCTGAGCAATGCAGATTTCCAATATTCTTTTTCACGATAACTCGGGCGATAACAATTTTCAAAAATATGTTTATCACACTCGGCAGTAAATCAATGTAAAAGAAATAAGAAACTGTATCGATTATTGTATCGTATTCTACATCGTGTTGCAAAGATTCTCTGAATCAGACATTCTTATTGATGCATTGTAAATGGTTTCATATGTCTGCACAAGACAGCAAAACGTTCTCTAAGTGTTTGCCGAAGTTCCTGTCGTTTTTCCGTGACTTGACACATCCGCGATTTAAACTCCAATACTTCTTCCGCTGGAATATGACTCTCCTCGTCATCATCGTCATCGTCATCGCGTAAGTAGGAATCCTAAAATATCTGAATTTTAGATAACAGAAGAGAATTTAACCTTTTGAGTGCGAAACATTTCAGAGCTAAATAACCACTGAGGACAGAGCTGTTGTATACGTCAAATAAAATCAATTTTACTTATATTATCGTGGATAAAATATATAAAACAGTAAATATATAATATATATAAATGTAAAATGTCCAACAGTTGACGACTATTGTTTGTGTCGAGGGTATAAGTCGAAGAAATTTGCATATATGCGTCCACAATTCACACATATAACACTTGTTGGACGCATATATGCGTCCATAGCACTCAAGAGGTTAAGTACTTTCTCTCTCTCTCTCTCTCTCTCTCAAATATACCTCTAACATTTGTACAAGTGTCAAACCGCCGCCATTCTTCTTCAATAACGAGATGCTAGAATTGGAATGAATAAGTTCATCACATGACTGTAGATCGTGACGATCTGCACCATGCTTACAACATGTACCGTTGCAAGCTACTTCAGAGTCGTCCGGAGTTCTAGGAAGAGGACAACTACTTGTATTGTGTCCGGAAGAACATCCGCAATCTTGGAAGGATTGCTCGCTGTTACAGCGACCTTCCCTCTCGGACATAGACAATTTCAAACGTTTCCTCATTTCTATCCACATGGTGTATTTACTTTTTGCACGGGGTTTCGGAGTCCAAGCGTTTGACAATGTCTTTGTCATAAAATCCTGGTAAGTGTCACAATTCCATTGACCTTCATCGGATTTTTCGGCTAAGCTCTTGGAACGAAAAAACGAACTTTAGAACGCTACATTTTTTTCAGATATCGATGTATCTAGACAATTGTGTGAGAGCGAAAATTGCAACTTACTTCACATGACTCGGAGATATCCGACGAATCCTCTTGAAGAGATTGTTTGCAAGACGCGCTACTACTTTGCTTAGACTCGTTTGCGATAGATTTCGTTTTCGTTTCAGCAGAATCCTTCGCTATAGTCTTTTGTGGACTCTCAGTCTTTTTTACAGGGAATGCTCGTTCGGCTTTACTTGGCGATTGTGATATACCAAGTGTTTTCGTCTTGTTTAAACAATCGAGACACTTACACATCCGCACACCTTTGTTTTTCGGATCTAAAACTTGCAACTGAGATTACGAGACGCGCTAGTATGTAGGAGAGTGAGCAAGCGTGTATAAGTTATACGATATTACATTAATTTCGTGTACCTTGTGTCGGTCGATATTCTGCGTCGTTGGTTTTGACTCTGCACAGACACAGGAGGATTGGCTATCACCAGTATGTCTTTCACTCGAACACTATAGTGAAATGAGATATACCTTTATCTCGTAAAGAGATAAATACGAATTTTTCTTAGGGAACATAACTTATACGTTGCAACCTACATCACAGGTATTTTCCTTCTCCTCGGCTTCAGCTTCATAACGACGTTCTTTCTGCTTTCTACGTTTGAGCCGCAATTTCTCACGCTTCTGCTGTTTCGCCACTTCTTCCCTCGTAAATTCCTCGTACAACAGTTCTAACTGCGTGGCACCTTGTTTCGCCTCGACCGCCATCTGTGAGAAGATATTGTCAGTTTACTAGAACACAGATATCAATTAATGCTCCTCGCCGCGGAATTCTTAGTTGATGACAACAGAAACGAGAAAATACTTTTTTTTACTTTAACAATCAATAAATAGCTACAAAATTACCGTAACAAAATCATGAGAAAAAGTAAATTAAAGGTTTATATCTCACATTAATTTTATATTTATTCATTGATTGTTCGAACAAAAAAATAGTGCTCGCGAACTATTTTATAATTGTCTGCTTGGTCAATTGCAAGTGTTATTTAATGGATCATCTTTTTATTTCAACATATTTGGCCAAAATTTTTAATGTGTATTTTCTTACTTTTAAAGTCATAAATTAAGATGGTCGCGAAAAGGAACCAAAAATTAAAATATAGATCAGATTAGGTGGAAATTTTTAGCGTTATTTTTTTAAAAAGAATTAAAGTTATCTTTATAGCGAATATTACCCGAAAACTCCTAGACAATGCATCTACTGCGACAGCGGCTAATACTTTACACACAGTTTCCTCTTCTCTCAGCCGTCGATGGACTTTGTGTATACGTTCCGCTATACACACACCTAAACACGTAAGTACTTCCTCTTGAGCAATTTCTAGCGTTTTCGCATGTCGCTCTCTGAAACCCATCTCACATGTTACTTTTCATGCTTTCAGGATATCACATTGGAGTAAACACCACAAATCCATACCTTCCCAAAAGTTCCGGCTGTGCGCGACTGATGATGGCATCGATGTAATCGATTATGGTTGGTAAGTGAATATGGCGATCAGCTACACAACGTCTGATACCAGCATACAAAATAGGTACATAGCCTTTTTCCTTTTCAGGATTGGATTCACTCGTTAGAAGAGAGGACGCTAATAATACCTTGTTACGGCATTCGCCACAAAACCTGCCAAATTTGCAAGCTTGCTAATAGATTTTAATATTACAGGTGATATTCGTAGTCGGATCTTGTATTTAAGGGGTAAAACCGCTTTAACGTTCGAAAATTAAATGTATTTGTGCGAATTTTTTGTAGGCAAGCAAAAAAAAATGAATCGAAAATCCATTTGAAAGGCTTTATTGTACATGTTTTAAAGTGTATATTTAAATTTTTATGTTAACATATATTACAAAATGATGGCGTTAAAGCCTTGTCAAAATAAGTGTGTTTTTCTACGAGCTAGCAGCATAAGTGTCGCAAATGGTCTAGAACAAAAAATCAAAATTTTTCGTTATCTACATGCCAATAGCTAGAGAAGTACATAGGGGATTTTTTATATATTGGAAATTACGCATTTTATAAACAATTTTCGACGAAATTTTTAGGACACAAAATGAAACACTTTCTTCAAATGCGTGTCATTTCTATAAAAATAAATATTTAAAAAACCCCCTATGTACTTCTGTAGCTATTGGCATGTAGAAGACGGAAAATTTTGCTTTTTTGTTTTAGATCAACATTTGCGATACTTATGCTGCTAGCTCCTAGAAAAACACGCATGTTGTGTGATAAGGTTCTAGCGCCGCCATTTTGTATGTTAACATAAAAATTTAAATATACACTTTAAAGCATGCACAATAAAGCCTTTCAAACGGACTTTTGATTTATTTCTTTGTTTGTCCAAATTCCCAAATTCCAAAAATACTTAATTTTTGGACGCTAAAGTTTTATCTCTTAAGATCGTCTTAAGTTTATTGTAAAGTATGTAAAAAGATGTTACTTTCCTTTTGTTCTAAAAATCAATTACTATAAAATTAACGTGACCAAATCATGAGAAAATGTAAATTAAAAAGATAGGTTGCATGTTAATTTTGCGATACTTCATTGATTGTTAGAGCACAAGAAAAGCGTTCGGATTATTTTCCAGATGAGCCTGATCGATTGAAAATGTTATTACAATCTGGACCTGCTCGTCGAAGAACTTCTGAACTAAGTGCACACTAATGCAATAGTTAAAGTGAAAGAAAGCATACTTATTATTACGTTATTGCGTTAGTGCAGAATCTTTTTATTGCATTAGTGCAGAGTCTTCTTATTGCATTAGTGCAGAGTCTTCGAAAATAAATAGACCTTATATGAGTATATCTTTTTGTTTCAACGTATTTTACATGAATTTTTATCATATATATTATCGTAACGTCATCAGTCGAGAGTTCTATGACGAGATGTCAGAAGCCTTAAGACGATCTTGATTATAAGATTCAATTAGGAGTACCAGTCTATGTGTCTACGTGAGTTATTTACATATTGCTTGCGCGATATATACATGGTCTTTTTTCCATGTAGGCAATGTAAACTACGAAGAATATTGTAAATTATCAGAGAATTCTGTAGATTGACTTGCTTAGGAAATAATGTCACATTAATGTACATTAAGGGAGATATTAAAAGTTAAATAAAAATACAAACTTTTTATGATTTTTTAGCAAATCATACGTTCTTTAAACGAAATCCGTAGATTACTCATTGTCTATATAAATGATATCTTGTAGTTTAGGTTATCTACACATAGGTGCAGAATATTGTAATTTAAACATCCAACTCCATTCTGCAAGACTAGAATTATACCTATGTTTACGTAGATAAGTATCCAATGTCTCGTTCAGCGTCTCAGCTTCTATCAATGCGAGTTCCTCTTGGCAGGGATATTCCATACACTCCCACACTTCCCTCCATGCATTTGGTGGAGGTCGCATTCGTTGAATTTCCAAAGAATGCAATATACATCGTTGAGATTTCCTATTTCTTGGTTGCTGCTCCACTAAGTTACTTAGCCTAGTGCTGTTAAAGAAATATTCAAATGATAAAGATAGCTCTAATATACATATATACCTGAAATAATATCATCAAAATTATACCTGTGCCCATGTAATATTGTGCAAAGTTGCTCAGGTGACTCCAGTACATCATCCTTAATAGAAAGCAGACCATCAGGAGTAATAACCAGTGGATCTAATGCAGGATGCCCCGATTTTATTAAATCATATAATAGTCTCTCGACACTAAACAGAATATTCCTGTATTAGTCAAAACAGTCATTCCTATTCTAAGAAATCTTGCAAGAAACTAAAGAATTACAAGGAACAATTCTAATGAAGAAAACCATCACATACCTCTTTCGACAACCTACACACGGCACAGTTTCACTTAAAATAGCAAGCATGTCCTTACAGGAGACTTCAAAGGATGCCTTAATCTCTTCCTTTGTAAGTATTTCCAATTTTTTGATAAACTCAGTCAAATGTTTTCCACGAATTACAGGATTATCACAGATTGCTCCTAAACGTTTTATATCCATAATCATCTAAAAAAAAGAAAAACTCAAATATTGAATATTTGCATTTTTTCCATGAGTAATATATATATATATATATATATATATATATATATATATATATATATATATATATATATATATAGAAACACAGATAATAATACTTAATCGATTCCACAATCCTCGAGTGATAGTGACACGAGCGCGATAATGACGATACGTCATCCTGTTGCATTGTCAGCGATATTGACAAAATCGTATGGACATTGTTCGATGACAACTCGATCGATCGCGAACGGACAAACGAATGGAAAGCTTCACAGCAACGTGTATGTAACAGAATCAAGAAAAGTACAACGCATCTCTAGTCCCGTGTTGGAATTTAGGTTAGTCGCGAGGAAGCTGCCGCCGTACAAGAGACAGAAGTCATTACGTAAGGCATCGTGTCACGTAATTATCACGTGGGTGACAGCACCGTGCTCACCGTCAGGTTTTCGTCGATATTCAATAGCATTTGATTGACAAATAGTTCCATCGGCTTATCGTCCCGCCAAACATTCACCAATCTCGCCATCGCTCTCTGCCCGGGTGATATGCACCCGCTCACTCCTTTTACCCGTCTCTCTCTTTTTCACCTAATACACCTTCGTTCTTTCCTTTTCTCTCTCGTTTCCTTCGTTAGAGACAGGTCGATCAGAAAGAGTATCTCGTTCCGTGTAATCGCTAAACATTCACCACGCAAGCGGTTACGCGACTACACGACGAAAACAAATGGAGTGTCACGTCTGCCACTAAAGTGCGAAGTACGTGTGCGTGGAGCAGCACACGTATAAAAATCGCCATTCTGCCTAGGGCTGTGTTCCGAAATTTACTGTTAGTGCTGAAATTCTATAATCTAGGCTGAGTTCCGAAATTCACTGTCAGTACTGAAAATCTATAGTTCATGTCACGTATACTATAGAATTTCAGTACTGGTAGTGAATTTCGGAACGCAGCCATACTAAAGGCTGGTTTATGATGGCCGTTGGTCTGTTCTTTTCAGTTTCACTGCTGAACTGGTGTAATGAGTAAAGTGTGACAAGTATGGGTGTTTTCCAGTTGCGTACACTGTATTACACAAAACCAGTTTATTGGTTGCATATTATCTTACAAGATATTTTAGATAATGTATAACCAATAAATTGGTT